AAATATTGGTTTATTTGGAGCTATGATTATTGGTAGTCTTGCGGGAATTATTTCAACATTAGGTTATAAATATTTACTTGAATTATTAAAAAAAATTCGTATTCATGATACATGTGGTGTTCATAATTTACATGGAATGCCTGGAGTTTTCTCTGGTTTAGCTGGAATTGTTGTTGCCAGTATGCCTTTGAGATCATATTATCGTGAAAATTTATCATATAAATGTTTATCAGGAGGTGAAGATAGATCAGCTGCTGTTCAAGCTGGTTATCAATGTGCTGGTCTTTTATTAACATTAGGTATGGCCATTGTTGGAGGTGTTTTCACTGGACTTATTCTTCGTTTACCTATTTTTGCTTCACCAGATAATAATTCTTATTTTGATGATAGTCTTAATTGGCATGTTCCACAAGATTTTGTTGCTGAAGATTCAGCATTAGGTTCTTTAATTAAAAATATTTTACCAACTAACATGCAACTTGAAGAAAATCCTAAACAAGCTACACCAATTATAGTAAAATATAATCCAAATACAATTGAATTTATTCAAGAAAAATCACCTAGACAATCAACTCAAACAGTATCTCAACAATCAAATCAATCGGTATTCTTAAATGTAGCCGATTTAAAAAATGATCAATCCAATCCAACATCACCTGTTTTATTTACTCAACGATTGTAAAAAGAAATATTTTCAATAAAAACTTTTATTTTTTATTTTATTTTATTTTTTTTGGATAATATTAAGATATCCATTCTATTTAACTGTAAACTATCGTTTCAATAATTCATTGTCACGTCATTAAGTTTTATTATAAGGAATAATAATAAAAAAATTCGAGCAAACAAATCTATTTCTTTTTATTCATATTTTATACGAGAAAACACATTATCATCTAGAATTCATAATATACAGTTTTGATTTATCATTGTACTTTATAAATTATAAACATTAAATGACGTCGATACTTTTGCGCACATAAATTATAGTCTTATGATATTATAATGAATATCAATGAAAAAAATATAATTAGGTTATTTATAATCTTAATCAAAGGTACGTTTAAGAGAAAGAGAAGTTCGTTTCAAGGTAGTTTAGATTGAATGATATTTCATTAGAATAATCATCTTCTTAACAACATATTTAATATGAACTTTTTTTTTTTTATAGATAAAACAGAATTTATATGAACTACTTTTGATATATTATTATAATATAGACCTTTGTTTTTTGTATTTTATAAATAAACAAAGTAGATTTTTGTTATTCGATATATATGTTTAATATGAAATAGAAGTAACGTTCGTTAAGATTCGATTGAATGGCTTTTTGACTGACACAATAGGGAATTGCATAGACGCATATCGAGATTTGATTATAAAATAGGTATTAAACAAATGTAACGGATAACTTGACGTTTAACACGGATTTATTTTACAAAAGAATATTTTTTCCTTATATTAAAGTTTAATTTGATTTTTTTTCAAAGTCAAATTTATATTTAATATGCAACATTTCTCTAATCAAATTCAGTTTATATGTCAGATTCTCTTTTTTTTCTATAGAAATATTCTCAAATGTTTTTTGTTTTTATTGTTATTGTTGTCTTTTAATTCTATTCATTTTTATTCTTTAACATTAATCATTTTATTTTAATTTTAAATAATAATTAACTATAATCAATCAATATTATTTTTATCCTATATTAATATATATATCGAATTTTAATGCATTTATATCGATTATATTCGATTAGATTTATTATGATTTTCATTTTTTTTTAAATAAAAAAACTTCATTTTGAAAACGTTATACTTTTTCATTCTGTATGTTTCCTATGTTTCAAATAAAATCTCTCTTATATACTATAGAAAATAATTCTGTGGACATCCTTGAATAATTATCTTATGAAGTTAATTTCATAAAGAAAAAACAAAAAACGATTTTCTTGACTCTGATTATATCATTCGATAGATCAAAGTCTTGACTTTACTCTCCGAAAAAAAAAATAATTTGGATACCTGGAATTATCTATTTATGATGCTTTCATTCTTGATGAAAATATTTTCAGTTATATGTCATTCAAGAGAGAAAACAATTCTCTACACATTGATGTCTATTAGAATCCAAAAAAACAAATCTTGATAAAATCTCGAAAGAGTTCAAAACAACTGAAATCCTTTAATTTTTTCTGATAACTTAACTTTTTCAGATTGAAATAAAATGTAAAGCCAACTGAAAATCCATAATTTGATAGAGAAAAGTAAACTGAATCGAATTATGTTTTTGATTCGTAAAAATCATTTAATAAAATATATATTTATTACTAATTATAATTTCATATAGATCTTTTGAAAATTTTCGTTTTTAAATAGTAAAATCCAACTGAAGATATTTTTAACGATAGAAACTTGTAAAGAATTAAATTCTCTAGAAAATGATATGCTCGGTTACATAATAACTATTTTTTCTCAATATAATAAGACCCTATAGTTCGAAGTACAATTTACAGTGAAGAAAGAAGAAACGAAAAAAAAACACCTTTTTTCTTTTTGTCATTTGTTATACATACTACCGCGGACAAAATTAACGCAACACGCATTTTCGATAGATATTTTCATTAATAGCCAGCCACGAAAAATACAAATTTTCCAGAAACTTTTTTTCGTCTATAGAACTTTGTAGAGCTCGTTTCGCTGATCATTTTGGCAAAAAAAATATTGAAATTTGCTCAATAAATAATGGCATTAGAGTCAAAAAACTAAAAACTTAGGACTGTTCGTGGCCACTGCTGAGTACTAGGTGATATTTTTGAGTATTCTGAATCAAAGTTCGTTATTTATTGAGTAAATTTGAATATTTTTTTTTACCAAAATGATCAGCGAAACGAGCTCTACAAAGTTCTATAAACGAAAAATATTTCTGAAAAACTTATATTATTCGTGGTCGACCTTTAATGAAATTATCTATCAAAAATACGTTTCGCGTTAATTTTGTCCGTGGTAGATAGTATATTGATCTATACCCTTGGAAAAAAATAGTGTCACTCGTTATTTTTAATATATCATCATTATAAATTAACATTTTGAGAAAAGTAATTAAATGTTCGGATAGCCCGTGGAATTCTCTATCACTCTGTACTTTTACCAGTAGTGATTTAGAATTGTTTGATAATAAATACTTCGAGTATTGTTAATGCATCTACGTATCACGTTCCTAGGTTAAGTATTGTTGAAAATTTACGCTACATCTTTGTACAAAGAAGTTCATCATAGACTAACCACTCTTAACAGCATTAAGATCAGGGCTGACAAGTAGATAATTGTCCATACATCTTATTTGATTACTGGATAATCATTCACGGACCGCTGTATGAGTGAGAGTGTCACAGTGACGATACATTAACAATAGTCGAAGTATTTGTTATCAAATAATTCCAAGTCACGACTGACAAAAGTACAGGATGATAGAGAATTTTATGGGCTATCCGAATCTATAATTACTTTTCTCAAAATGTTAATTTATAGTGATGATATATTAAAAATAACGAGTGACACTATTTTTTTTCCAGAGGGATATATGGTTTGTATGTTTAATTCAATGTTTCTCTTAAAGAAGATTATAAATAATTTCTATGAAATAATTAAGATATGTTATTGTAAAATTCAAAAAAAAACCTCAAATTTTCATTTTGACAGTGAATATCTGAGAAATTTGTTAATTTTTCCTAATTCACATAAATCGATGTTTATTGTTATCAATATAGTTTTATATTAATTCTCATTTTTGATCATTTGTATCTATCTAGTTATTGTCTATTTGAAATAATTTGCCTTTTCTATAGTTACTTTTCAATATTTATTTTAGCTTTTATTTTTTATCTCGGTAAATATAAAAAAAAATTTTTTAAATTAGATTCTAAATAGATTTCAATCTACAGTTCTGTGAAAAATTATAGAATCAGTATCACATTCTAGTTGTTCTCGAATCGAAAGGATTTGAATTTTGATTGAAAGTCGAATGTACTAATCGAGAAACTCTTACTGAACATTTCCTTCCTTGAAACTTTGAAAAATTGGTTATATTCAAAATTAAAATTTGGTCTTACTGACCAAGCCAAAATGATTTGAAAACATGACTTAAGCTCAGTGGGTGTGAGTGTAGCTGTTGGGTTTTGGTATCATGTTACTGTTTTCCTAGCCACACCCACAGCCACACCCTCATCTACGTAATTATGTCTTCACAAAATCGAAGAAATAATGTTCATTTGTTTTACAGATATATAGACAATATCGTAGCTCTTAGATTGGTCTAGATCCACACCCATACCCTACATTCTCTTATTCACTAACATATGTATCATTAAAACTTTAACTTTTATTTAACATATCAAATGTTTGTGATATATACTGCAATAGGTCAAAAAACCATATAATTATCTTTATATTTCATGTGACATTAAAAACCTCCGAGATGAAACCATGTACTTATAATCGTTTGTCTCTTTATCAAACAAGCACATTCATACATAGATTTACTGATGAATTTATGCTTTTAAAGAATGCTTCACTTCTTTGTTTTATGGAGAAAAGAAAGTATCTAGGATGAAGTAAACGAAATCGGTATGCACTATGTATTTCATTGTATAGAAGATTTTTGTGGCGTTCGATGAAGCCATGTGATATTCTAGAATATGGCTCTATACGATCGTTTACAAGCTTTCTTGTTCAACTTGAATATGCGAAATGATAACTTGTCTACTGAGGTTGCTTAAATATAAGAGAAAAAAACCATACTGTAAAAGATTGTTGGTTGTGCATCACATTTCAACGTGATCCCTCTTTCTGTTCTTTCCTTGGAGAAAAAAACCTATGAAACGTACCAAATATTTGCTCAATAATTGCCGAAGATATTGATCAATAATTATTAATGTTCAAATCGAGATTGATTATTAAGAATGAAATATCTTCCGAAATTAAGACGTTTGAGTTAGAATAAAAATAATTAAGTAAAAATATATCTGATTCAGCATGTAAAAAAATAATACAAAAAAATTGGACCGAAATAAAATCGACGAAAATTGACCAAACTCATTTGAATAGTCATTATAGTCCGACTATACTATCGAACTTATTAAGTTCTGCTTTTTTCAGTTTTGAACAATGTGTTTCAATTTACAAAAATGATATTCACAATTGCCTAGATTTTTGGTCTTTTCTATCTTAATAAATGTTTCTTTAATTATCATTTGATTAATTAATGACTCATTTTTTAGAAAAGTGCAATGAATAACGAGCTTGAGCTTACTTTTTCTTATCTACGTGTCATAGCAATTTGACTAATATCATAATCAAGTTAAATTGTACTTCTCTGACGTTAGTTTGCTTAGTAAAACATTATTTGTCATCCGACTCTCTCATATATTTGTTGATAAGGAATACAAAAGCACATTTTTTTTCCATTTTCAAACAAAAAAGAAAATGTTCGTATTATTATTAATTCTGTTGTTAACTCCCAACATTGGTTATGCTCTCCAATGTATAACTAATTGTTCACTTGGCGCTTATCTCTTCAGCCAAAAATTTAATATTCCTGATGGAAAATGTCAACAACGAGTTTCAAAATCTGTTTGCTCTATATTGATGACATTTGACTATCACACGAATTTGTATTATGTAACTTTTAGTAGTCTTATAGAATCGGTAGATTATTTTATTATTTCATCATTACCCTATCTTTCTTATTCAATCAATTATCAATGTTCAAAACAAACTGATTGTGTTCTTCAATATGGAACGAATAGAATCGATGAAATGGTTGGCCGAGCCTATAATGCACGAGACATATACGGACAGCTAGCTCCAATTATTGGAAATTCTTTAAAAAATACTTCAATTCAATGTTATAATATGAAAAATGAAATAGTCATATGTTCATCAGATGAAATATGTTCAATAGATTTTGATCAATTAGAAAATAGAATTATATCACGTGATTGTAAACAAAGTTATGGACCCAGAGTTTATGTTTATGATCGTGAGGATCGTGTAAAATTAGAGGTTGAATGTAATCGTAATTTATGCAATACTAATGAAGTCATTTCACAAATCAAAATAGTATTAAAAAATAATGGATTAACAGATGCTAACGGAAGACGAATTGCCGATGGAAATAAACAAACAATTTCTTCACTATTAATGACATTTTCTTTGTTTTTTATTATTTTTTATCATTTATGAAATAAAAAAAAAAGTTATTGTGAAATGAAATTATATTGAATTTAACAAAATAAGTAAGATATAAATATCTGACTCTGTAATATCGAAATTATTTGAGATCAATTGCGTCGTTTTCAATGAATTAATGAGCTCATTGATAATGAATTACGTTTATGTAAAATTCGTATCTCGTTAACCAAGGAAATCAGTCTAAATCAAAGTGTTATTTTACTAAATAAATTGGATGATGGACATTTTGCACCGCGTCATTCCGAACTTCAGACATGTGTCCAGGTGTTCGGAAATGACATTTTGCCTTAAAAAATATTCGACAGAAGTTCGTAATTCTTTTTGTACAGAAGATCGGAAAGCTGTGATCAGAAATTCGGAATGGATTGATCATTACTATATGTGGAATAGTGTCCAAGAATCGGAATGAAAAAGACTTGATGTTCAAGATCCAATTTACCAGGAGATCTTTACTCATTTTTTTCTTATATTCACAACGGTCATAAAGACTTTTCTTTCTTTTTTTTTTAAATAAAATCAAGAATGATTCATTCAATACCTTCGTAATTATATAAACAACATCTACTTTTCTCTGCCTCTACTTGTAACGCTACAATAGCTGTACAAGATATTTGTAACTTTTGTGCTTTAATTAATTCTTAATATTGATAATAGAGAGCACTAATCTCTGGAGAAATGAAGTACTATATAATTAGAAGAGTCTGTACGTTCAAACTTATTAGCTACACGAGTAATGATGTCAGGATGATTTCTTCTATTTACTGACCTTCACCCATGCTCACACTCCACATCCTCATCCGTAGTTTGTGTACTCTCTTAGAATAAAAACTAATAAATTGCTTAACTTATCTTAAAAAACAGCAAACATGAACACATTTTCGAACACCCTGTTTTTTATTGGTACCATCTTTCATCGTTCTTATTCCAAATTTCAGTCAAATTTCACGATTTTTTTTTCTCAAAAAATCAATATTCGCTATTCGTTACGATCTTCCGAACAATTTTAATTACGAGCATCCTGTTCTTTTTTATTTTGGATTGATTTTTATCATTCCGAGCTCCTATATCCTTAATTCTGAACATCCTATCTTTTTTCTTATGTCCGAAGATCGTAATGAAAAGTTGGTGCGAAATGTCTCTTTCCTGACAATACACAGTTTCATTCCCTCGACTGAAGGGAGGGTCATACGAAAAAAACTCAAAAGCGTTTGTGGCTCTGTCTGTGCCAGGGTCAAAAGAACACAAAGGTCAAAAAAACATAAGATCACCAAATCGGACTTTCACTCTTCGAAACTATCCAATCAGAAGTATTCGACCCCACGCTTTCGACCAATCAGATTCTTTCAAGCTAAAAAACCGTCCAATCAGGAGTTTTCGACCTCGCGCTTTCGACCAATCAGATTTCTGCAAGCTAAAAAACCTGCCAATCAAGGGTTTTCGGCCTCGCACTTTCAGCCAATCAGCTTTTTTCAACCTAATAAATCAGCCAATCAGGGGTTTTCGACCTTGCGCTTTCGACCAATCAGATTTCTGCAAGCTAAAAATTGGCCAATCAGGGGTTTTCGACCTTGCGCATTCGACCAATCAGATTTCTGCAAGCTAAAAAACCTGCCAATCAAGGGTTCTCGGCCTCGCGCTTCCGGCCAATCAGCTTTTCTCAACCTAATAAATCAGCCAATCAGGAACTTTCGGCCTCGTGCTTTCCACCAATCAGCTTTTTTCAATCTAATAAATCAGCCAATCAGAGGTTTTCGACCTCGCACTATCGACCAATCAGATTTCTGCAAGCTAAAAATTGACCAATCACGGGTTTTCGACCTTGCGCATTCGACCAATCAGATTTCTGCCAGCTAAAAATCGACCAATCAGGGATTTTCGACCTCACGCTTTCGACCAATCAGATTTCGGCAAGCTAAAAAACCGGCCAGTCAGGAGTTTTCGGCCTCTCGCTTTCGGCCAGTCAGCTTTTTTCAACCTAATAAATCAGTCAATCAAGGGTTTTCGATCCCGCGCTTTCGGCCAACTAGATTCTTCCAAGCTAAACAACGAGCCAATCAGAAGTTTTCGGCCTGGCGCTTTCAACCAATCAGATTCTTTAGAGCTAGAGAACCAGCCAATCAGGGCTTTCCGAGTTCATGGATTCGACCAATTGGATTCTTTCTAGCTGGAAAACCAGTCAATCACGGGTTTTCGACCTCGCACTTTCGATCAAACAGATTCTTTCGAGCTATAGAGCCACCCAATCAGAGCTTTCCAACTTCCGCGATTCGATCAATCAGATTGTTCAAGTTAGATAACCAGCCAGTCAGGGTTTTCCGACCTACGGTATTTGACCAATTATATTCTCTCAACCTAGAAAATCACCCAATTAGGGTTTTGACCTCGCGCTTTCAGCCACCCAGATTCTTTTGAGCAGAACAGCCTGCCAATGAGGCTTTTTCGAGTTCAGAGATTCGACCAATGAGGGTGTGGGCGTATGGATGTCGGTATGGCTGTGGGTGTGAATGTGTGGATGTGGGTGTGGGTATACTGTGATGCGGGTGTGGGCTTTTTGTGGTGGTGGTGTGCGTGTGGACATGGGCGTGGTTATG